CCCCTCCTCCTCCTCCTCCTCCTCCTCCTCCTCCTCCTCCTCCTCCTCCTCCTCCTCCTCCTCCTCCTCCTCCTCCTCCTCCTCCTCCTCCTCTCCTCCTCCTCCTCCTCCTCCTCCTCCTCCTCCTCCCCCTCCCCCCGCGGCGCCGCCGCCGCGCGGGACGCCGCCGGCGCGAGGCGCGGCGCCCCCCCCGGGGCGCTGCGGCGGAGGACCGTCGTCGCCCGCTGCCGCCGCGGGTGGCCCGAGGCCCGCGCGCGCGGCGGGCGCCCCCGGGGGGGGCCCGGGGGGCCCCCTCGCCGCGTCCTCCTCCTCCTCTCCTCCTCCTCCTCCTCCTCCCTTCCTCCTCCTCCTCCTCCTCCTCCTCCTCCCGCCTCCTCCTCCTCCCCTCCTCCTCCTCCTCCTCTCCTCTCCTCCTCCTCATCCTCCTCCTCCTCCTCCTCCCTCCTCCTCCTCCTCCTCCTCCCTCCCTCCTCCCTCCTCTCCTCCTCCTCCTCTCCTCCTCCCCCTCCTCCTCCTCCTCCTCCTCCTCCTCCTCCTCCTCCTCCTCCTCCTCCTCCTCCCCTCTCTCCCCCTGGGGGGGGGCTCGGGCGCGGGCCGAGGCCGCCTGCAGCCCCCGCGCGCAGACCAGTAGTTGCCACCGACCCGGACCTCCCAGGAGGGCTACAAAAAAAGGTACCCGACTCAGAAGCCCATCCCAGAGCTGTTCTGCGTCTTGGTTTTAGGCTGTTTCGCTCAGATGTTTAGGTTTTTAGGCTTCCAGTGCTAAAACATAGCTCTCTGGAAGGTCAGGGGAAGTGGAGGCAGGTCGCAGGCCTAGAGGTTGGCACCAACAGCAATGTCGGCGGTGTGCCTCCGCCGAGGGAAGAAGATCCCGATCTCGGTGATGGTGGTAAGATTCTGGCTTCCAAGGTAGCCGAAAGATTGCCACCAACACCGGAATCTAGGATCATCTTCCCCATGTGGAGGGAAACCCCTGTGTTGGTGTTGGTGCCCACTTCTAGGCCTCCAACCCGCGCCTCGAGCAGTGGCGAGGCGTCCCGGCTGGCCTGCTGGTCCAGCAGGGAGTGCTCGAAGAGCTTTTTGTCTGTCGTGGTTACGGTTTGCGCGGGGTGTTCTTGGAGCAGGTCTGGCTGGCACCTTTCTGTTTTCACACATCGGGCTGATGTTCTAAGAGCAGTGCTTGTGTTCTGAGAACAATCGTGGTAGGCCTGTAGGAATATGCCTGTATGCTTGTGTTCTTAGAGGATTCGTGGTAGGCCTGTAGGAATATTTGTTCTCAGAGCATTCCTGTGCTCTGAGCACATGTCGTGGTAGGCCTGTAGGAATACACCTGCTGGGCTCGACCTCTCGGGCCTCTGGGGGCCCTCCCTGGGCCTCAGGGGCGCCCAAAGACGACTCGGGGCGAAGAGCAGGTCCCAGGGAACGGGTCGAGACCTCTGGGAGCACACGTCACGAAAAAATATCACCACTGGGGCAGTCCCTGAGATCCCTGGTGACTACAGTTTCTCGAGTCGGGCGTTTTCGCCCGGTTTCGGGCCCCGGGGCCAGCAGAGATCGATCCGGCTCGAAGATGGGGGGAGGAGGGGGAGGAGGAGGAGGAGGAGGAGGAGGAGGAGGAGGAGGAGGAGGAGGAGGAGGAGGAGGAGAGATCGATCCAGTCGCGATGCGTCACGATGTTTTTTTTTCGAGGCGTCGGCTCTCAGGGCCCCGCAGCCCCTCCTCAGCTGGGGGAGGGGGACGCGACACCATCACCACCACCACCACCACCACCACCACCACCACCACCACCACCACCACCACCACCACCACCACCACCAGGGAGAACGTTCCAGCCTAGACGTAAGTCGGTCTTGTCCCTCTGCAGGAGGAATGCTCAACAATAGTCAAAACATCATCTGGGGACTAAGTTTTGACTATCTTTGAATATCTCAGGGGCATTTTTTTTTGATTATTTTGCTCTTTTCGGCCAAAATTCGCCCGTAGGGGGACAGGCCCGACCTAAGCCTAGACGCTCAAGTCTGCTGGGCAAAAAGCCACCAGGGTGGCCACCTCCAGCAACGAGGTCCGAGGCGCCCCCTCGAGCTGGGGATCTGGGGCTGTCTCGAGCGAGAGGGGGGTGCACCACCTGGGCCCCCCCCCCCCCCCTCCCCGGCTCCTCCCGCTCGTGGTCCCGTTCCAACTTACTTTAGCCTTGACCACCAGAAAGAATTTCGAGCACCAAAAAAGTACCGAAACCCGGATGTTTTCACGTGCTGGGCCCTGGGAGGCACTCGTCCGACACTGTTTCGACACTGTTTCGACACTTTTTCGACACTTTTCCGGGTGCTCGAACTTGTTTCTGGGATCTGGTCCGTAAGCACGATGGGAGCAACATAACCCTTGTGGTGGTGGTGTCGCCCTCCCCCTGCCCCTCCTCAGGGGGCAGCGCTGGCGGCGTGGCCCGGCTCAGGCCGCCCCCCCTCCGGAGCATGCCCTCGGCCCCCTGCCGCGGCGCCCTGCTCCTGGCCGCCGCCGCCTGGCCCCCGCTGGCCGGCTGCGAGGGCGCGCCGCCCGCGGCGCCCACATGACCGACGACCCACGACCGCGGCCGTGGCGGCGGCGGCCGCGGACACGACGACGACGAGGGGAGGTGGTCTTCATCGGCCTCGGCCTCTCTCGGGGGCAGCGTTGCGGGGTGATGTGGGCCCCATGGGGGGGGGGGGCATCGGGCCCCCCGTCGCCCGCGCCTCGCCGAGAGGGGCCCGGCAGCCCACCCCGCCCACCCCGCACAGGAGTTGTCGGCGATGCTGCGCCAACTCCAAGGCGATGTTTCCCCCCCTCGAGCCAGCCCCCCCGTATCCCTGACCTCCCAGGAGGGCTAACAAAAATAGCACCTGACTCAAAAACCGATCCCAGAGCTATTCTACGTCTTGGTTTTAGGCTGTTTCGCTCTGCTTTTTAGGTTTTTAGGTCTCCAGTGCTAAAAATTATCCTGGCGAGGGGCCCAACCATGTGCAGTTGTGACTGACGCAGTTGTGGGTATCGACCTCGGTGAACCTCTCTGGGGTCACGACGCGTGTGACGGGTGTGCCAAAATTGGCACGGGTACGCCATGCGGACGTTGCCACCAGAGCTGTCGGTGGAGCACCCTATGGGGCCGCGGAACGTGCAAGGGGTGCGCCGGAATGGGGAGTGGAATTGCATGCGGACCCTGCCACTGGAGCCTTCGGCGGAGCACCCTATAGGGTCACGAAACTTGTGAGGGGTGTGCCGAAATGAGGGGGTGGGACTGCATGCGGACCCTGCCACTGGGGCCTTCGGCGGAGCACCCTATAGGGGCCACGAAACGTGTGAGTGGTGCGCCGAAGTGGAGGTGGAACTGCATACGGACCCTGCCACTGGGGCCTTCGGTGGAGCACCCCATGGGCCACGAAACGTGTGAGAGGTGCGCCGAAATGGAGGTGGAACTGCATGCGGACCCTGCCACTGGGGCCTTCGGTGGAGCACCCTATGGGGCCACGAAACGTGTGAGGGGTGCGCCGAAATGGAGGTGGAACTGCATGCGGACCCTGTCACTGGGGCCTTCGGCGGAGCACCCTATGGGGCCACGAAACGCTGTACTAGGTGGGTGAAACGCAGGGAGGAGGGAGAAGGGGGAGGAGGGAGGGGGGCAGCGGGAGGAAGGTGGGAACGCGGGGCGCTGTCTCTTCAAAACGAGGGCCCAACACCACAGGATGGTTTGGAAATAGCTCTCTGGAAGGTCAGGGATCGTTCCCCCTCGCTCCCCGGGGCCCGTTTCGAGCCCGGGGACGGCCAGAGCTCGGTGCCAGGATGAAGGATCGGCCAGGGTGGTGGTGGACTCCGGGATGGGTCCAGGGACCGAGCTTGGAGCGGATCTCGGAGACGAGAAACGAACAACTTCCTGCGGCGGCGGCGGCGACAGCGGCAGGGACAACGGCAAAGACGGAGACGCCGACGACGACGACGGCCACCACCACGGCGCCGACGACGTCGACGCCTCCCCGCCCCGACGGCGACGTCGACGACGGCGGCGGCGAGGGCGACGGCGACGGCGAAGACGATGGCGGGGACCTCGGCGACGACGACGCCGCCGGAGACGACGACGGCCACCCCCACGCCGTCGACGACGACGGCGACGCGCCTCGCCGCCCTGGCGAGGCGTCCACGGTGGCCCTGCGCGTCCACGACGGGTTCACCCTCGGCAGGCCCTCTCAGAGCCGCGGTCCGCCCGGCCGCCCGCTGGGGGGCCCATGGAGGGCCGCAGGCCCTCCGGGTGCCACCGTACGGGGCACGTCTCGGTCCTCACGGTTCGTCCCGAGTCTGATGTCGACAGGCTCCGAGCCTGATTCGATGCGGCATCGGATGCCGTGTTGCGGCATCCGAAGTCTCGGTGGAGGCCTGCGAGCCTGCCGACGTCTTCCGATGCGACTGCTCCCGACTCGGCTGCTGGTTTCCGCCGATCCGATTCATGCCGATCGCCGATTCGACTCATCGACTCGATTCTGGGCTCTCCTGCCACCATGGCCACCTTGGGGGCCGCTGGCAGGCCAGAGACCCTGATCCTGGCATCGCTCGGACGTGTGCATTTTTTCCCCGGCGAGAACCATCGAGGAGCATCCTTGATCACTTGGCGAAAACACCACGCACGACACCGAACAAAAACACAGGGAATGGACGTCCGAGCGATGGCGAGTGATGCCCTGGCGGCGCGACTTTGTTCGAGCCGCGCGGTGTTTCGCTCAGTCTCGGGCCCCAGGGCGCTGCCGGAGCGAGCCGGTTCGGAGGTCGGACTGCAAAGGCAGGGTCGAGGGCTCTTGTCGGCGTCGGACCTCGGGGTGATGGGTGTGTTTTCCACCACCACCACCATAGGTTGGAGGGGGAGGGGGTCCTCCTCCTCCTCCTGCTCCTCCTCTTCGTCTTCCTCCTCCTCCTCCTCCTCCTCCTCGTCCTCCTCCTCCCCCCCCTCTAACTTATGGTGGTGGTGGTGGAAAACATGCCCATCATCGGGGGGCCCCAGGATCGCCACGGCGGAGAGGGGGTCTCGGGGGAAGCGGGCCTATCGAGGACCGCTGCCGCCTCTGGGCTCTCTCGTCTCCCTCGCTGGGCCCCCGGGAGCCGTCCGCTCACGGCTCTGCCTTGACCTTCCAGGAGGGCTAAAGAATAGCCCCCGACGTAAGAGCCTGTCCCAGAGCTATTCTGCGTCTTGGTTTCGGGCTGTTTCGCTCAGCTTTTGGGGTTTTTGGGTCTCCAGTGCCAAGACATAGCTCTCTGGAAGGTCAGGGTGGATGCAGAGATGGGCCTGGCAGAAAGCCCCGTGGGTCCAGGACCCGCTTCCCTCAGGAGCACACTCTTGTGGCGCTCCGTGGCAGTGGGAGTTGTTGCGTCGTTGTCGTGGGCTACTTCCGCCTCCGGGGAGGCAAGGCACCCCGGAGTGCGCAGCCCCCCCCCAAAAAAATCAGGAGGGAAAGAAACACACAGACACAATTAATCGTCGAGTCCCAGAAAAATATGGAAAATATGGGAATTGGGCGGGAAGACACAAACCCAGAAAATATGTGAAAATATGGGGAATCATTTTATTTGTGTGTATTTTTTTGTGTGTCCCAGGGTCCCTTTCACAAAAGAAAATGCGGCACAAAAAACAGGGAAGCCTCCAGGAGGGTTCCCCGATCCCAGAGGCGCCAAGGGCGGAAAACCCACCCCGACCCCGACAGTTGGCGTTTGCTAAACGGCCATGGGCGTCTACTAAATAGTCCTGCCCTGTTCGCTTCCTTCCCTGGGCGCGTTTCCTAAACGGCTTCGCTCGTCGGGGTGCTTCTATGGGATGGATTTTCTGCCCTCTATTGGGGTCTCCTCGATTTTTCCCGTCGTCCACCAGCAGACCACGGGCCCAAAACTCCGCCCACATCATGTAGGGGGGGCTGCTGGGCGTTCTCGTTCAGTTTCGGGCCCCGGGACCCTCACAGATGGATCCAGCTCGAAAAGTGGGGCAGAAAGATGGGGTCCGGGGCTCTAGTCGCGATTTGTCGTGATGCCTGAACCTTTTCGAGGCGCCGGATCTCAGTGTCCAGGGGCCCTTGCCGGGCCTCGGGGCCGCCACACAGAAGGCTTGGGAGGAAGAGTCGGTCTCGGGGAAGGGTCGAGACTCCTGGGGGTCCACGTCATCCAAAGGTCTTGGCGTCGGAGGTCTGGATGCCTCGCTCCAGAGGTGTGGGCTCGAGCTGAGCGGTGTTCTGGCGATCTCGTGGGCCGTCTCCGTTGTGACTTCGCTCCGCAGCAGAGGCAGAAGGAAGACAGAGCGAAGGAGGACAAAGACGGCACGAGGCCGAAAAACTCTCTTTCTCGCGCGAGCCCTGCCGGAGGTTTCTGGCACGCTCTCGGGGCGCTCCTGGAGCGCTTCGGAGCGGCCGCGGCGCCCCAACCCTGACCTTCCAGAGAGCTATGGTTTAGCACCGGAGACCTAAAAGCCTAAAAAGCTGAGCGAAACAGCCTGAAACCAAGACGCAGAGTAGCTTTGGGATAGGTTTTTAAGTCGGGTGCTATTTTTTAGCCCTCCTGGAAGGTCAGGGAAGGCCCCCCCCCCCAGGCCCGCCTGGCCCGCACCTGCTCTGCCCTCGGCCGGGCCTCCCAGACATGCGGCGCCTCGCTGCGGCGGGGGCGTTCGTGGAACAGCCCTGACCTTCCAGAGAGCTATGTGTCAGCACCGGAGACCAAAAAACCCAAAAAGCTGAGCGAAACGGCCTGAAACCAAGACGCAGAGTAGCTTTGGGATAGGTTTTTAAGTCGGGTGCTATTCTTTAGCCCTCCTGGGAGGTCAGGGAAGGCCCCCCCCCCCCCCCCAGGCCCGCCCGGCCCGCACCTGCCTTGCCCTCGGCCGGGCCTCCCAGACATGCGAGACGCCTCGCTGCGGCGGGGGCGCTCGCGGAACAGTGTGGAGAAGGTGCCCAGGGGGCTGCCGGCTCCCCTGAGGCTCTGGCCCAGCTTCTTCTTCTTCTTCTTGAGCCGGGCGTCTTCGCCCCGCTGCGGGCCCCGGGCCCTCGCAGGGCGAGCCTTCCTGGGGCAGAGATGATGGGGTCCGGGGCTCCAGGCGCGATCTTCACGATGTCTCAACCTTGCTCGAGGCGTCGGGTTTCTCGGGGTCTGGAGGATTCCTTTGATCCAGTGAGGGCGGCCCTGACGCCCATGGCCGGTCCACCCTTCTGGGAGTTCCGCCAGCTTCCAGGCCCCAGATTCCCAATCGACGGGCTCCCTCGCCAGTGCCCTGCCGTCGTAGCCCCCCCCCCCCTTCCCAGGGCCGGCCCCGCATCCCGACCCTGGCCTTCCAGGAGACCTAAAAAATAGCACCCGACGTAAAAACCTATCCCAGAGCTATTCTACGTCTTGGTTTTAGGCTGTTTCGCTCAGCTTTTTAGGCTTTTAGGTCTCCTGTGCTGAAAAATAGCTCTCTGGAAGGTCAGGATTCCTTTTATCAGATGAGGGCGGCCTTGACGTCCATGGCCGATCCACCCTTGGAGTTCCGCCAGATTCCTGGAAGCTTCCTGGAATCCAGGGCCTGGAAGCCAGGCCCTGGACTCCCTATCCACGGGCTCCCTCTCCAGTGCCCTACCGTCGTGTAGCCCCCCCCCCCCTTCCCTGACCTTCCAGAGAGCTATGTTTTTAGCACTGGAGACCTAAAAACCTAAAGAGCGGAGCGAAACAGCCTAAAACCAAGACGTAGAATAGCTCTGGGATAGGTTTTTAAGTCGGGTGCTGTTTTTTAGCCCTCCTGGAAGGTCAGGGAGTGTGGAGAATGTGCCCAGGAGGCTGCAGGCTCCCCTGAGGCTCTGGCCCAGTTTCTTTTTGAGCCGGGCGTCTTCGCCCCGTTTCGGGCCCGGGGCCCTCTCCAGTGCCCTACCGTCGTAGCCCCCCCCCCCTTCCCCTCCTCCCGAGTCGCCCCCCCCCTTCCCGGGGCCGGCCCCTCCTCCCGAGTCCCTGTGGAGTGGCCTCGCGGGGCTCGGCGGGGGCCTCCGGAGAGGCCGCGGGCGGCGGCAGAGAAGCCTCGCCGCGTGTGCCCCCACTGGCCACGGCGCGGGCGTGTCCTCCTCCTCCTCCTCCTCCTCCTCCTCCTCCTCGTCTCCTCCTCCTCCTCCCTCCTGCTCCTCCTCCTCCTCCTCCTCCTCCTCCTCCTCCTCCTCCTCCTCCTCCTCCTTGTCTCCTCCTCCTCCTTCCTCCTTCCTCCTCCTCCTCCTCTTCCTCCTCCTCCCCCCGTCTCCTCCTCCTTGTCTCCTCCTCCTCCTCCTCCTCCTCCTCCTCCTCCTCCTCCTCCTCCTCCTCCTCCTCCTCCTGCCTCTGCCTCTGCCTCCTCTCCCTCCTTCGTCCGTGCGCTGCCCGCTGCCCGCTGCCCGGAATTTTGCCTCTTCGGGGGGCGGTCGCGGGCCGACCGCGGTCGCGGTGGGACTTCGAGAACGTCGCCTTCGAGGCCGGGCGGCTCCTGCTCTTCGCGGGGTCCGAGGACGCTGCGGGTCGACTGGGCGTAAGAGTGCCCTTGCGCCGGAGTGGCCTCTGGCGCGGGCCCAAGGGCCCCATGGGGCCCCCCGATCGCCGGGTGCGATGCGACAGTTGCGTCTTGCGTATTTGGGCTCAGCCCCCCCCGCGGATCCCCGAAAGCCACGCACCAAGGGTCATTCTTACCCAGGGCCACTCTTGCGGAACCTGGCGGAAGGGACATACTCGAGGCGTCCTATGATTAGATGGGGTTCGAGTAGATGCGTCGCCGATGCCGATGCATCGTCGATGCGGCTCGATGCGGGACCCGATCTTCTCCATTCCGGCGTCGCCGATGCACCGCCGATGCATCGCCGAGCGGGGTCACTCGCAGCGTTGTGGACGTCGATCCAGGGAGAGGAAGCATGTTGCCAGATGTCTAAAGCATGTTTTAAACATGTCTTGAACATGTAAAAACAAGTTTAAACATTTTCAGAACATGTTTCGAACATCTTAAGCACATGTTTTATTCAATGGTAGGATTGTTAGAGTGTCCATTGTCATTGCATCCGCAATCGTCGCCAGGGTCACTCTTGCGTGTCGCCGAGCGGGGCAGCAACTGCTGCGGGGCGGGGAGCCCCGTACCTGACCAAGAGGAAGGGCGCTCTCCCCGGGGCTGGTCGGTGAGCTCCTCCTCCTCCTCCTCCTCCTGCTCCTTCTCCTCCTCCTCCTCCTCCTCCTCCTCCTCTTCCTCCTCCTCCTCCTCCTGCTCCTCCTGCTCCTTCTCCTCTGGAGCTCGCGTCGTGGGCACACGTCATGGCGCACGGCCTGTGTGGCCGTATCCGGCCTCGGGGGGCCCTCGCCAGGCCTCGGGACCGTCACACGGTTCGGGGCGAGGCGCTTCTAGGCCTCCTGGATGGGGTCGGAGCCCGGAGTATCGCAGGCTTAGAAATTGACACCAACACCAGGATCGGCAGTGTGCTTCCACCGACGGAAGACGATCTTGATCTCGGTGATGGTGGTAATATTCTGGCTTCCAAGGTGACCGAAATATTACCACCAACACCGAAATCTGGGATCATCTTCCCCATGTGGAGGCAACCCCCTGTGCTGGTGTTGGTGCCAATTTCCAGGCCTCCAAGAGTAGGTGGGGTCGGAAGATCGCGCCGCATCGCCGATGCATCGACGATGCGGCTAGATGCGGAGCCCGATATTCCCCACGCCGATGCATCGCCGGTGCATCGCCGATTCATGGCCGATGCATTGGCGATGCGGCGCGATCCTCCGGCTCCATCTGCTCGGACCCCATCTAGGAGGCCTCTACAAGTGGCCCCGCGGAAAGGGTCTCGGGACATCGCGAGAACCCGTATTGAAAAAAGAAGGCATCGCATGGTTTGGTACCGAGCCCTGATCGCCTCCTCCTCCCTGGCCTGTTTTGGGGTGTCCCTCCTCCGTCAAGACATGATGTCAGCATAGACTCTCGGAGGTGCGCGTGGATTCTTTGGGCGGTACAGACGGTGGCCCCCCCCCCTTCGTTGGCGTCAGAGGTGCCGCCGTAGGGGCTCCAGCGCCGATCCAGTCGATCGCTTATGCTGCTCTCATAGGACGGCAAGCGGAACATCGAGACGCTTCTGGAGATGCGGGGGTCGCACGAAGGGTCTGTCCGGGGTTCGGCTCTGCCGCGAGGCTGGATGCTGGGGAGGCCCCAGCATTGACCTGATTGGACTATGGCCCCGAGGCGGCCGTTCCACTCGGCCAGCTCAGTGCTCGGGCAACCCCAGCGATACGCGAGCGGCCTACCCGAACCCAGCGCTGACTCGGCGGCATTCTGGTTCCCAGGAGAGAGAGAACTTTACCAATGACAGCCGCTACCTGGAGGGACCGCAGCCGCTGGACGGGCCTCCCGTCGTCGTTCACCCGACCGCGTTTCCCGAGCAGGGCTACTGCAGGACGACTTTCGACGGCGTCGTTCACTGGCTCGTGCCCTGGTTTCACAACCTCTATCACCTTCATGCCACGAACATCTACCCCAAAGCGGCGGAGCTCCTCACTGACCCCACGTGCGGGCCCAAGGTCGAGCTACCCTGCCGTGCCGGTCCACGACGGCGCATCTACATGCTGAAGGCTCCGAGGAGCCACAGTATAAAGCATGTGGAGGTACTGAAGATCCTTTTCGGAGACGATGTGCGCTCGGCCCCCGAGCTCTTGTCTGGTGGCCCCCACTGCCTCTCGCGGATGGCCTGGGGGGGCTCGGGGCCCAACATGCTCAACATACTTGGCAAGGACAGCCGTTTCCACGTCCGCGAGGGAATTGCAGTCGCCTCCGCAGTCCGCACCGCTGTGTTGGACCACTATGGGATCTGGGACCGCGACAGGGGGACGACAGAGAGCATGGCGCTGGCCCAGGTGCTCGCGCGCCAGCCCGCGCAAGCGGTGCACGTCTCCCGCGCCCCGTGGCTCTCCCCGGGCCATGCGCCCAGGAGAGGGCGCTTCATCGCGAATGACCAGCCGATACGGGCGGCGTTCAAGAGACGCGGCGTCGAGATGCGGACCTGCTGCAACTTCGACGCCGACTCGCTGGCCGACATGGCCCGGGCCTTCGCCGACGCCGACGTCGTCCTGGGGATGCACGGGGCTGGCCTGGCCAACGCCCTCTACGCGCGCCGCGGCGCGGTGATCGTGGAGCTCCTGCACGGGCACGGCAGCGGCAGCGACTTCTACAGGCGGCTCGCGCTGCTGCGCGAGGGCGCCATCGTCAGCATGCACCTGGGGGCCAGCCCCTCGAACGAGATCTCCGCCGACGAGGCCGAGGAGCTGGCCCGGTGCGCGGTGGCGGCGTGGCGCAGCGTCGGGCCCACGCCGGCCGTGGAGAGCGCCTGCGGCGCGGCCTTCGACAAGGGCCGCGCAGACCTGCACAGGACCGAGCTCGACCTGCGGCCCCGCGCCGTCCCGGAGGCGAACGTCTCGGGCGGCCCGCTGCCGTTCGAGCTGGCCCCCTGCTCGCACTCGGGCAAGTGCCCAGAGGACATGCGGCGGCGCATGGAGGAGCTCCTCTCGAGGGCGCCGAAGCCAGTGAACCTGGAGGTTCCGCCCGCCAGGGCAGGGGCCTGGCCCAAGCCAGGCCCCGCCAGAGCCAAGCCAGGAGCGGCAGCGCCCCCGCGGGGCCTGGAGCTGTGAAGCGGGAGCGGCTGGAGTACGGCAGCGTGGCTCTGCGAGGGCCCCCGCCCGAACTCCGTCATAGACCTATAGAGCGGGTGCGACTCTTGCAACAAAGCGCTGCCTGCAGCATCGTGCGCGCCCGCTGGGCGGGAGCATTCGCGAGCAGAGAGCCGGCCGAGCCTCTCGGCACCGCTTCCAGCACGCCTGGGCGAGCTACGGTGGGGGCCCACGCCAAGGAGCACCCTGCTTGCCTCCAGGGTGCCCGCCCGCGGACAGGTCCTGCGCCCCCGGACAGCGGGACGGGGTCATCGACGATCCTGGGTGTCGTTCGTCGGTCCGAGTCCGGCAAGCGTGGGCGATCTGCGCAGCTACCCGCCCGCGGGAAGACTTGGCATCGCTCGGACGTGCGCATGTTTCTCGGCGCGGGCCATCGAGGAGCAGCCTGGGCCACCTCGCGAAGCAAAAACAACACGCACGGCACCGAAACATGCGCGGGGAAGGGACGTGCGAGCGATGGCGAGCATACCCTGCGTCCCCTGACAGCGAAACGGAGTCACCGACGATCGTGGCTGTCGTTAGTCGGTCGAGCACTTCGCCTTCGAGGCTGGGTCCTTCCGGGCCGAGGAAGGCCCGCGGCTTTCCCGCGGACCCCGCCAGCGACCTCGGCCTTCCGCGCCGCGCCTCCTCCCGGGGCCTCTGCCATCCTCCAAGGGATGCTTGCCTCTCGGTGGGGGGTCCTTGGGAGGCCTCGTGGCCGGTTGTAACGGCACCGGGGCAGTCTCGGGTCCTCTTGGACGCATGCCGGAGGACATCTTGCGCCATGCTGGATCGCATCTTGGAGGGCATTTTGGAGGGCATCTTGGAGGACATCTTGTGCCATCTTGGAGCAAATTTGGAGCCATGGCGGCCCCAAAAGCCTCCCAAGGATGCTTCCGAGATTGCGGAATCTTTGAAAACTATGGGTTTTCCAACGATTTCGGTTTTGAGCGAGAGGGGGGGTTTTAATCAGGGCCCCTCTTGAGCCTGACGTGTCGCCTCCTGGGGCCCTCTTGGGGCGCTCTTGGGCGCTCTCGGGGCCGGTTTGGAGTCCTCTTGGGGCTCCCGTGGGCCACCTTGGAGCCATCTTGAGGCTTCGGAAGCTCATCGGAAGTGGAAGGGCGAGAAGGTACAACTTGGAAGTTTCCCCTGCGGTTTTGGGAGGATTTCGGCCTCTGGCGGGCATCGTTGGAAGGCTCCGTAGCCATTCGGGCCATATTGGAGAAGTCTTGGAGCCTCTTTGAAGCCTCTCGGAGGCAATTTTGGAGCAATCTTTCGATGTTTCTGCCATCTTGTAGGTCATCTTGGAGCAACCTCGGGCCACCCTGGGCGTTCTAAGTGGTCGCGACCCCCCCGTCCAGACCCATGGGGGAGGCGGTATGGGGGAGGGGCCAAGCTACCCACAAGCCGCAAACCGTCTCGCTCACTCCCACCCGCCCTCCCAACACATAGGTAGAATTTGAGTCTCAGCATGGACAGGAGCCGCCGACAACCATCGGGAAGCAGTGCAAACGCCAGCCGGGTGCCCGACGTCCGCACGGTGCGCCGCGTGTGTCAGGGCACACCCACCACCCCTGTCAAGCAACAGTGCAAAGTGATCGGCAGAGATACACCCCTCCCCGAACGGGGGAAAAGGGGGTTGGAAGAGGAAGCGCGCTTGACCACCTCAGCCCTTCAGACCTGGTGGAATGAGGACAATACGTAGATGTCTAGCAGCTAGCATGGCCCATGCGCAAGGGTGGCACGCACGAGCCGAGAAGTGCACGCAGTAGGTTCGTGTCGTATCGACGCGGCGGCGACCCCAGCGCGGCGTTCAAGTTTGAACGCCGCCAGTGGCCCAGAGTCGGACAGCCTGGAACGACCTGGCGATCGGAAACCCGCCGATCGTTCCAGCTGAACGATCCATGCGGTGCCAGGAACCAACGCCGCAGTCGTCACGACACGACCCCGTCGTTTTAGTGCTCTGGGCTTCGTGGCCTCCCGGAGGCCATAGTCGTCGTCGTCGGCGGCGGCGGCGGCGGTGGCGCCGCCGTCGCGTGCGGCCCCCGCGGCCCCCGGCGCCGCCAGGCCCTGGCGCGCGCGGAGGCTCGAGTGGCGCTGCCCCCTGGCTACCTGCCGGGGTCCCAGCGAAGACGGCGGCGGCCGTCTGTCTGCTTGAGGTGTGGGTCCTGTCGCCCTCCTGCTCTCCCTCTCTCCCTCCCTGCTCCCTTGGGCCCCCCCTCTGCTCTCTCTCTCTCTCTCTGTCGCCTCGTCCCCTCCTTGCTCTTCCTCCTCCTCCTCCTCCTCCTCCTCCTCCTCCTCTTCCTCCTCCTCCTCCTCTCCCTGCTCCTCCTCCTGCCCCTTTCCTCCTTCCTCCCGCCCTTCTCTACCCTCCCTCCTCTATCATCCTTGCTCCTACTCCTCCTCTTCTTCCTCCTCCTCCTCCGCTCCCTGCTCCTCCTCCTGCCCCTCCTCCTGCCCCTCCTCCTTCCTCATCCGCCTCTCCTCCCTCCAGGCCTTCGACGCCGCGATGGTTTCGCAGCGTGGGGCCCTTGGAGGTGGCGACCTTTTCCACGCGACAGGGCTTTCATCCCCGAGCAGTTTTCTGTTTTCTGACGGGCCCCAGCCCACGGAGGCCCAAACCGGCGGAACATTTTCCGTCACGTTTTTCCCAACCATCCTGTGGTGTTGAGGTCCTCGTTTTGAGCTAGCAGCGCCCCGAGTCTCACCCACACCTCAGCCCGCCTGCGGCTGGCGCTTCGAGGACGAGGCCGTGGTAGTGCGTGGCGACCTCAGCTGGGTGCAGCTGGTCAGCTGGCTCGCCCCGCGGCCGTTGCTGTGGGGCTCGGCGCGCAACTGGGCGAGGCAGCAGCAGAGCCACCCCCAGGCCCTCATGGGCAACACGCGCTGTTTGCCAGGAGCAGCTGCGGGCGGCATGGTTTCTCGGCGTGTGGGCTTTGCAAGCTCTGCGGGGCTAAGATCGGCCGGCTCTGCCACAGGGTGTACGGGTGCGACGCTTACAACAACCGGAGGCGGACCGCTGCCTCCCCGTTCCTGGTGGCGAGGCGCGGCGGGCGCAGCGCGATGGAGCCGTGGGTGCCGAGCGATTCGGGCGCGGGGGGCTTCCCCGACCCGCAACACCTCTGGTGCGAGATCGACTGCCCGGATTTCGAGATCCATTGGTGGAATCGGCCCGCCGCAGGGCGATTCGAGGGCACGCCGTTCACCGACGGCTCCGCCTTCGCCGGGTGCTTCCCGAGCATCAGCCGGGCTGGGTGGGCAGTCGCGCAGCGCAGCCGCTGGGGAGTGCCTGAGGCAGCGGCGTACAGGCCAGTGCCTCTGGGGATGTGCCACAGTCAGCTCAGCCCCGAGGGCGAGGATGTCGCGATTTTCGCACTCCCGCACGTGGCTATTGGGCGCCTCGACCTCTTCATCGACTGCGCTGGAATCATGTCCGCCCTCCGACGGGTGCCAGAGGAGTCCCCGGGCGACGACGTATGCGCATCTGAGGGAGCCATGAATTACGGAGCTCGTTCGGGCTCGGCGACTTCACAGTCACCAAAGCCATCGCCCACGCCACGCATGCAGACGCCAACGCTGGGAGGACCGCGCATTGGAGCGCACGGGCAAAGAGGCCGCAGATGTATGGGCCAAGCACGGGGCAGCTTGCAATGGCATGCCCGCCGAGGCAGAGGAGCTGACACTGATGCTGTTTGACGTCGCCCGGGAAGCCGCGCGCTGGTCGGAGGAGCTCCACGCCATCTTAGGCGACGCGGGCACCAAGGATTGCGACAACCTGGAAGACAGGCCGCAGGAGCAGCAGGAGGAACAGCAGCAGGAGGATACCGCTGACGTCCCTGGCGCTGCAGACGGTGCCGCCCGATGAGAGGCCGCGCTGCCCGCGACCAGCGATCGCAGAGGGACAGCAGGCATGCATGCATGCATGCAGCACCCTCGCACTTGCTCCAGGCTGCCGAGGCCACAGCCCCGGGCCTGCCACCTCATGCCTTGGTGGCATGCGTGAGGTGCGGAGCGTATGGTGTGAACCACGCCCGGAACTCGGCAGGGACACGTGCCGCTGGGCGCACACCCGCGGCGCTGCGGTGCCAGAAGGCGCGCCGCTCGCGGATGGGCGCCACCCTGGGCGTCGCCAGCGCAGCACTCTGGGGGGCTCTCCCGGCTGCGGGGGCCCACCCCAGGAGGACCTCGCCGCCTGCCTCGGGGCAGCGGCTGGCCCTGCCACAGCGGCAGGCCGCGCCGCTGGGCAGGCAGGCAGCGCGCCGCCCAGGCGCCGTCTGGCCAGGGCCCGGGGTCCTCGCTGCGCGCGCCCTCGGCGAAGAGGACATCGAGGGCGCCATCGCCCGCTGGCGGTTGTGCCGGCGGACCCGCGACGCGGACGAAGACCGTCCCGCATGTCGGCACGCCCGTCACGCACGTCACGCCCCATGGGGAGCTCCACCGAGGGCTGCAGGGACATGGCCCGCGAAGCGTCCATGTCGCACACCCCTTCTAAGCACCGTGCTCCACAGGGAGCTTCGACCTGCGGTCCCGGAAACAAGATCCACACGGCGCCCCCTCCGCTCATTCCCGGTGGAGGAGGGGGAGGGAGCGGAATAGGAGGGCGAGGAAGAGGATAAGAAGGAACAAGAGGACGAGGACGAGGACGAGGATGGCAATGAGGATGAGGGTGAGGGTAAGGATGATGATGATGATGATGATGATGATGATGATGATGATGATGATGATGATGATGATGATGATGATGATGATGATGATGATGATGATGATGATGATGATGACTAGCCGGCCGCTCTGCGGTTGATCGGGAGTTTCTGTATATAGAAGAAGGTGCGTGCGCTTGTTGGCGAGGGTGATGAGGTTCCTCCTCCTCCTCCTCCTCCTCCTCCTCCTCCTCCTCCTCCATCCTTCTCTTGCCTCCGTCTGTCCTCCTCCACCCCGCAGCTCCATCATCTTCTCCTCCTCCTCCTCCTCCTCCTCCTCCTCCTCCTCCTCCTCCTCCTCCTCATTCCTCCTCTGGGCACCTCCCCCGGGGCGCGGATCCACCGGATCTGTCCGGATCTGTCCGGAAACGGTGCCGGAGGCCGCTCTGGGCTCCTCTGGGCACCTCCCCCGGGGCCGGTTTTGTGAGGATGTCTCAAGCGAGGGCGCCGGTTTGGGATTCGTCACCGGATCCAGCGGATCCAGCGGATCTCCGTCCGGAAACGGTGCCGGAGGCCGCTCTGGGCTCCTCTGGGCACCTCCCCCGGGGCCGGTTTTGTGAGGATGTCTCAAGCGAGGGCGCCGGTTTGGGATTCGTCACCGGATCCAGCGGATCCAGCGGATCCAGTCCGGAAACGGTGCCGGAGGCCGCTCTGGGCTCCTCTGGGCACCTCCCCTGGGGCCGGTTTTGTGAGGATGTCTCAAGCGAGGGCGCCGGTTTGGGATTCGTCACCGGATCCAGCGGATCCAGCGGATCCACCGGATCTGTCCGGAAACGGTGCCGGAGGCCGCTCTGGGCTCCTCTGGGCACCTCCCCCGGGGCCGGTTTTGTGAGGATGTCTCAAGCGAGGGCGCCGGTTTGGGATTCGTCACCGGATCCAGCGGATCCAGCGGATCCACCGGATCTGTCCGGAAACGGTGCCGGAGGCCGCTCTGGGCTCCTCTGGGCACCTCCCCCGGGGCCGGTTTTGTGAGGATGTCTCAAGCGAGGGCGCCGGTTTGGGATTCGTCATCCGGATCCAGCGGATCTGTCCGGAAACGGTGCCGGAGGCCGCTCTGGGCTCCTCTGGGCACCTCCCCCGGGGCCGGTTTTGTGAGGATGTCTCAAGCGAGGGCGCCGGTTTGGGATTCGTCACCGGATCCAGCGGATCCAGCGGATCCACCGGATCTGTCCGGAAACGGTGCCGGAGGCCGCTCTGGGCTCCTCTGGGCACCTCCCCCGGGGCCGGTTTTGTGAGGATGTCTCAAGCGAGGGCGCCGGTTTGGGATTCGTCACCGGATCCACCGGATCTGTCCGGAAACGGTGCCGGAGGCCGCTCTGGGCTCCTCTGGGCACCTCCCCCGGGGCCGGTTTTGTGAGGATGTCTCAAGCGAGGGCGCCGGTTTGGGATTCGTCACCGGATCCAGCGGATCCAGCGGATCCACGGATCTGTCCGGAAACGGTGCCGGAGGCCGCTCTGGGCTCCTCTGGGCACCTCCCCCGGGGCCGGTTTTGTGAGGATGTCTCAAGCGAGGGCGCCGGTTTGGGATTCGTCATCCACCGGATCCACCGGATCTGTCCGGAAACGGTGCCGGAGGCCGCTCTGGGCTCCTCTGGGCACCTCCCCCGGGGCCGGTTTTGTGAGGATGTCTCAAGCGAGGGCGCCGGTTTGGGATTCGTCATCCGGATCCACCGGATCTGTCCGGAAACGGTGCCGGAGGCCGCTCTGGGCTCCTCTGGGCACCTCCCCCGGGGCCGGTTTTGTGAGGATGTCTCAAGCGAGGGCGCCGGTTTGGGATTCGTCACCGGCGGATCCAGCGGATCCAGCGGATCTGTCCGGAAACGGTGCCGGAGGCCGCTCTGGGCTCCTCTGGGCACCTCCCCCGGGGCCGGTTTTGTGAGGATGTCTCAAGCGAGGGCGCCGGTTTGGGATTCGTCACCGGATCCAGCGGATCCAGCGGATCCACCGGATCTGTCCGGAAACGGTGCCGGAGGCCGCTCTGGGCTCCTCTGGGCACCTCCCCCGGGGCCGGTTTTGTGAGGATGTCTCAAGCGAGGGCGCCGGTTTGGGATTCGTCACCGGATCCAGCGGATCCAGCGGATCCAGCGGATCTGTCCGGAAACGGTGCCGGAGGCCGCTCTGGGCTCCTCTGGGCACCTCCCCCGGGGCCGGTTTTGTGAGGATGTCTCAAGCGAGGGCGCCGGTTTGGGATTCGTCACCGGATCCAGCGGATCCACCGGATCTGTCCGGAAACGGTGCCGGAGGCCGCTCTGGGCTCCTCTGGGCACCTCCCCCGGGGCCGGTTTTGTGAGGATGTCTCAAGCGAGGGCGCCGGTTTGGGATTCGTCACCGGATCCAGCGGATCCAGCGGATCCACCGGATCTGTCCGGAAACGGTGCCGGAGGCCGCTCTGGACTCGTGCTCTTCGCGCCGGGGGTGAGGATGACGTGAGTTCCACAGAAACTCCCTCAAATGATGATGATGATGATGATGATGATGATGATGATGATGATGATGATGATGATGATGATGATGATGATGATGATGATGATGATGATGATGGTGGTGGTGGTGGTGGTGGTGATGATGATGCCGGTGTTGACCATGATGATAGAGATTATGCTGGTGCTGCTGATGATGATGATGATGATGATGATTTTGATACTGATGATGGTGCTGATCATCACGATAAGGGACATGAGGTTAAGAATGATGATGATGATGATGATGATGATGATGATGATGATGATGATGATGGTGATGATGATGATGATGATGATGTGGATGTTGATGATGACGATGATGACAGTGCTGACGATGATGGAGATGATGAAGATGATGAAGATGATGGTGATGATGACGATGTCGATTGCGATGGCGATGGTGGTTATGATGGTGATGGTGATGATGATGCTGATGATGATGATGATGCTAGTACTGATGATGATATTGATGCTGATGCTGATGCAGATGATCATCATGATGATGCTGATGCTGATGCTGCTGATGATGACGACGATGAGCATGCGGATGTTGATGACGATCATGACAGTGCTGACGATGATGAATATTATGAAGATGATGAAGCTGATGGTGATGATGACGATGTCGATTGCGATGGCGATGGTGGTTATGATGATTATGCTGATGCTGCTGATGATGATGATGATGATGATGATGATGATGGTGATGCGAGTACTGATGATGATGCTGATGATGCAGATGGTCATGATGATGCTGATGCTGATGCTGATGCTACTGCTGATGATGACGACGATGATGATGGTGTTGTTGATGATGATGATGATGATGATGATGATGATGATGACGATGATGATGATGAGGAGGGGGAGGAGGTGGAGGAGAGCAGAGGACAGTTTCAGCAATATTTGATTGGGAGAACGAGGACGCGGAGGATCGGCAGTGGAGGGAGGGGGGTCAGGCGAGGGGGGATGATCAGTCGGCGCACCCCTCAATTGGATCGCGACTCGTATACCAAGCTCCAGTCGCCACTGCACGCCTGTCCCGCCGCTCCCCCGTCTCTGCGCAGAGCTGCATCCCGTTCTCGGCTCGCGGCAGACGACGCGGAGAGCCCTCTGCCGATCGGTCGGTCCCCAAGGATCCGACGTAGCCAAACACAGATGCAACCTCGTGAAACATCACGTCTGGACCCCCCGACCGACTCATTAGAGCACAGTCTTCTGCCGATCGGTCGGTCCCCAAGGATCCGACGTAGCCAAACAAGATGCAACCTCGTGAAACATCACGTCTGGACCCCCCGACCGAATCTTTAGAGCACAGTCTTCTGCCGATCGGTCGGTCCCCAAGGATCCGACGCAGCCAAACATAAAAATGCAACCTCGAGGAAAATCACGTTTTTGACCCCCGGACCGAATCTTTAGAGCACAGTCTTCTGCCGATCGGTCGGTCCCCCAGGATCCGACGCAGCCAAACAGAAGTGCAACCTCGAGGAAAATCACGTTTTTGAGCCCCGGACCGAATCTTTAGAGCACAGTCTTCTGCCGATCGGTCGGTCCCCCAGGATCCGACGCAGCCACACAGAAGTGCAACCTCGAGGAGAATCACGTTTTTGAGCCCCGGACCGAATCTTTAGAGCACAGTCTTCTGCCGATCGGTCGGTCCCAAAAAAGCTCCGACGCAGCCACACAGAAGTGCAACCTCGAGGAGAATCACGTTTTGGAGCCCCGGACCTAATCTTTAGAGCACACCTCGTGAAACACCACGTTTTGGAGCCCCGGACCTAACATCTTCCTGCACCATGTGTTGTCGAGCTGCATCGATCCGTGAGGCTCCCCGTGGGCCCGAAGCCAGGAAAAGCCACACCTGGCTCGACGAGATATTGAGACGCCAGGATACGAAACACACAGCGTGTGGGAACACACACACACACAGTGTGTGTGTGTGTGTGTGTTTTTGTCCCGACCCTTTCCCCAGGGCCGGCTCCTCCTCCCGAGCCGTTGGTCGTCGGGAGCCCTGAGAGGGGGGTCAATGCAAACGGGGGTCCGCCAGAGCGCCCGATCCTGCAGGATCCTGCAGGGCCAGGGTCGCATTGACCCGGGCTTGGGCGCAGGATCCTGCAGGATCCTGCAGGATCCTTCGCATTGACCTGGGCTTGGGTGCAGGATCTTGCAGGAGCTTGCAGGATCCTGCAGGCTTCACTGACCCGGGTCTGGATTAACCCGGGTCGGAAGATCCCCGAGCTTGACGGCCCCGAGGCCCGAGGGGGGCCCCCGGAGGCCGCAAACGGTGACAATCTCCCGCCGTCATGCGTGGACGACGACGAGGACGCCTGGGCTAGATCCTGGCCTCAAGAAATGCCTGCTTGCGGCCGAGGTCGAAAACCCGCTTCATCTGGCATGAACTTGGTTCACCAGTTTCTTCCCGTGCAGTCCGGCTGAATCGGGCTTACTCCCCTGACCTTCCAGAGAGCTATTTTTTAGCACTGGATACCTAAAAACCAAAACAACTGAGCGAAACAGCCTAAAACCAAGACGTAGAACAGCTTTGGGATAGGTTTTTACGTCGGTTGTTATTTTTTAGCCCTCCTGGAAGGTCAGGGTCCTGAGCCTAATCCAGTCTGGTCCGGCATAATGGTCGGCTGCGCCCCGCCGGAGGTCGCGCATCGAAGGTCACCCTTGCCAAGGGCCACTCTTGCGTGTGGCCGAAATGGCCCCTTCATCGGGCTTAGTGTTATGTCGGGCGTGTCCCCCTACAGGGAGATTTTCGACGAAAAAAAACAAATACCCCAAAAATGCCCCCCAAAGGCGAACAAAATACTAGAAAAATAGTCCCCAGACTCTTTTTGGACTATTTTGGTATTATTTGTGGGGTATTGTTTATTTTTCGTCGCAAATCCCCCTGTAGGGGGACAGGCCCGACATAAGCTTAGTGCCACGAGCGGCTCTTGCGAAAGTCCCTGCGTGCTGATGTTGTCATGACGCGAGCCGGGGGCCTGCCCGATCGGTGAGTCGACCGGGGTCGGGGGAGGGCGGCGGGCGTCAGCTTGGCTATTCTTCTGCATCCGAGTCCTTTCTCATCGTTTTCGCCCCCCTCGACCTCCTCCGCCGTCCCCTGGCCCTCCTGCTCCCTCCAGTCCAGTTCCCGCTGCTGCTGTTCTTCCCCGTCTCTCTTCTCCTTCCTCCTCCCTCTGCTTCCTCCTGCTCAGATCCTCTGCCTTCCCGTAGTCATCCTGTTCCTCCCCCTCCTTCCACTCCAGTTCCTGCTGCTGCTGTTCGTCCTCGTCCTCCTTCTTCCTCACCCTCTTCCTTTTCCTCCTGCTCATCCGACACCTCCTCCTCCACGTGCATAGCCACATGTTTCAGATTTCGCGTAAAACGATTGTGGTGCTCTGTTTGGGTTTGAGGTCGGCTACGACACGCGTCGGCGGAGAGAGAAAAAACATCAGCGCAGTGGGAAGGGGGTGGATGGGAGGGGAAGATATGCCAGATGTGGCGCGAGCGCGACCGGCTTGCCCCTCTCCCCTCTCCCTCTCTCATGCCCTCCTCCCCCCCCTTCCTCCCTCCTGTCCTGCCCCCCCCTTCCTCCCCCTTCCTCCCGCCCCCCCTCTCCCTCCGGCCGCGCAGGCCCCGTCGGCCCGGATCGGGGGGCGGGGGGGGGGCTCCCTGTCTGGACCGAGGCCAGAGGAGTGAGGAGGCCTCGTCGGGCAAGCCTCTTGTCAGGGGCGCCGAGAGGGGGGACCGTCCCCGGGGGGGGGGGGGGGCGGGCCTCCACCCCTTCGCGCCGCAGGACAGTCACCACGACGCCAGGCTTCGGCAAGTTTCGGCCGTTGGGGGGCCCTCGCCGGCCCTGGGGCTGTCAGAGGACGACTCGGGATCACCATCAGATGCGGGGAGCCTCATCTGTGCATCTCTTTGCCTTGCGTCAGGCATGTAATAAAACCCTGGTCGGCCCACTCTTGGGAAGCTCTAGTGTCATGCCTGCTACATCGGGACGGCCAATGGGCTCTATGAAACAATCAATGTCTCGCTGTCCATATGCATGATCGCGTGTAGTCCATACGTGCAGGTTTGAAGAGGCTACGGCCTCCTCCACCAGGTCTCGAGCAGGCCCGGACAACTGTCCGCAGTGGTGGCTCTCTCTCTCTCTCTCTTTCTCTCTCTCTCTCTCTCTCTCTCTCTCTCTCTCTCTCTCTCTCTCTCTCTCCCCCCGGCACGGCGGCCATTCTGCCTGGTTGGTCCCAGCAATTTTAGGGATGAGGGGGCTCCTGGAACGCCCCTGGTCGACCCTCCCCCCTTGTGGTGCCAAAGTGCCGCGCCTGCTGCACAGCAATGGCCCGTGGGCTCTGGAAAGAGACGTCGACCCCCCGCCCCCCGAAAAAGGCCACTTGATTTGAGAGGCCCAGCACTTGGGGCACAAGCGGGCTCGTGGAACACACATGGTCGGTTTCCCCTTGGGGTGCCCGAGTCCATGCCTGCTACATCGCGATTGTCGCCGCGCTCTGAAACGAGACTTGTCTGCCCCCCCCGACACGGGTACTTCGACCCGAGAGGTCCCAGCAGTAGTTTGGATACGAATGGGCTGGCGACACACCCCTGGCCGACCTCTCCTTGGGGCGCCCAGATGCGATGCCCGCTGTCTCCCGAAGAGCACTGGGCTGCGAAAAGGATCACCAGTACACCCCAAGCTCAGGAGGGGAAAAAACACACAGACACAAATATTCGTCGATCCCTAGGAAAATATGGGAAAATATGGGAAGTGGTGGGGAAGACAAAAACCTAGAAAATATGAGAAAATATGGGGAATCTTTTTATTTGTGTGTATTTATTTGTGTGTCCCAGTTTCCCTTTACAAGCGGCCGTTCGAGTCGAGACGCCCGAGCAATCGGGGCACGAGCGGGCTCGTGGAACACCTCTGGCAGACCCCTTTCGTGGGGTGCCCCAGTGCCCTGCCTGCCACATCGCGATGGTCATTGGGCGACACCCCAAAAAACAAGGCCACTCCTGGTGGGCTCCCCTGTGAGGCGGGTGGACGCAATGCCTGCTGCATCGCGGTGCCTATCTGGCGGTGAAAAAAGGACACGTCTATCCCCCCAGACCGGCCCCTCGAGCGTGTTCGTGAAACACCCTTGGTCGACCCCCCCTTGGGGGGTCCAAACCCATGCCTGTAACATCGCGAGGGTCGCTGGGCTCTGAAAAGCAAGACACGTCTGCCCTCCCAACAGGCAATTCCATTTGCGAGGCCCGAGCGATTTGGCCACGAATGGGTTCGTGAACGCGCCTGGCCGACCCCGCTGATCATTGGGCTCTGAATCGGAGCACGCGTCATCAGAGTGCCAGTGAGTCTGAGGGCGAGCGAGCCCGAGCAGGCGAGTCTACGCACGAGCGAGCCTGGGTGTGAACGCAGGCAGGACGGGGCGGGAGTGAGTGAGGGGGGGGGGGGCGGGGGCCAACACGAACCCCGCACTTAGGGCGTGTATGGGGAAGCAGCGGCCTCGCCTCGCGCGGCAGGACCTCCCGGGGCCGACGCTGCGCGAGCCCCGCGACGTCGGGGGCCCTGGCACCCTTCCCCCCTCCCGAGCATCGCCCACCCGTCGCCGATCGGCCGATCGGGTTCTCGGTGCCCCCCGCCCCCCATGCAGGAGCTCGCGGCCTCGCTCCTGTGGGGGCAGGGTCCCCCTCTCTGTCGGCGGGGCGCCGTGGCTTCCAGGCCGACGTTGCTCCCCCTCCCTCGGTGCCCCCCCCCCCCCCCGAGCACTGGGAGGGGTTCGGGCCGTTGGGTCGGCCGAGGGGCCACGGAGCTCGGCGACGGAGCTCGGTGCAGTGACGCTCCAACGTCCCACAGCCTGGGAAGCTGGGGCGTCTATACACACCGAGATCATCCCTGGCCGATCCGACGACGTGGTGGATGCATCGAGCCCTCCCCCGAGCACGCCCCCCCCCCTCTCGGCTCCCCTCTGTGAGGAGGACTCCTCGGCGGGCGAACCTCCCGGAGGCTCAGAGGCTGCCACCGGCACCAGTGCATACTGGCGGTCGCCTGCGTCGGGAAGCTGGCCCCGGGCCTCGGCAACTGGCATCACCCAACACATACTTACGGTCGGGACTTTGGCTTAGCGGGTCGCTCCGCTGGTCCTGGCCCGCCACGCCTCTGCGCGACACGCTATCCACGTCCCGGATCCCCGGGGTCACTGTCCCGAGCCTTCCCGAGCCTCCCGCCCCGCGGAGCGGAGCGGCACGCGGTCAGCTGGCAGGGCATGGCGTGTCGCTGGGGCCGCCGCCACGGCACGCCGAGGACAGGTTCTTGACCGTATGCTAGGGGTTTGTTGACCCCCCCCCCCGGGGGCACAGCGCGCGCGCGCGCTCAGACATCTTGTTGTATGTGTTCGGGGGCGGGCGTGTTCTGGCCACACCGTCTGGCTAGCGATATACTGCAAGGTGTTTTTACCATATGTTCGGTTCCGACGTGCGCCTCCATGGGGGGCGCATAGTAGTTACTAGTATGTCGAGCGCTGTGCCTCCCATGTGGCATCATGTGAGCCAGGCCCATCTCCCCCTGGTGGAGGCGACCACCGATGCTGGTGCTGGCGGCATTCTCGAGGCCTCCGAGGCTTGGCACGGGTCGTGGACGTGCGCCTGCGGATGAGGCGGAAGATGCGCTGGGATCCTCAGCCTCCCTCTTCATCGTCGACGTCGTCGTCGTCGTCGTCCTCCTCCTCCTCTACGAACCGCGGTCTTCAAACCTCCACTTCGCTCCTCGTCCCCCCTCCCCCCCTCTCGAGCGCATCTTTGCTAGGGACGGGTTGAGCGGGCCGCAATGGACCGGGAGCTCGCGGGTAGGATCCGTACTGCTGTCGGTGCCGTGCGCCTGCCGCACGGTACACCACAACCTTGGCCTGAGTGGTTTCTCTGAGATGCCGGGCGGGACAAGGTAATTATGTTGTGCATGTTTTGCATGTGCGGCCTTACGCCTTACCTGCCACCTTGGGCTCAATCCCTGCAACGAGGTGGTGCTACCCCACGAACTGTATGTCATTGTTTCTGCCACCCTTCGTGTGTACGCCCTCGCTGTACAGTGCCGTGACCGCCGTCCGAATTGTGGCTGCGCGAGACCGTCAAGCTGGCGGCTGGTGGTGTTTGCCCCTCGCAGGAACGCGAATTATTCGCTCGTGCTTGCGGTGATGGAGCTCCAATTTCGGCGCCGCTTTTACGCGGCTTCAGCAGTACTTCACGAGGTTCTGGGACGTGCTCCCGGGAAGCGGGGTCGTCGGAGGCCCAAACGGGCCCAACACATCCAACACCTTGATCCTCACTCCTTCCCTCTCCCTTTCTTTTCGTGGCGTTAAATATATTTCTCAGTTTAGAGGTGGGAGCACTATACCTTTCTGTCGCGAGGTGATTCCACGAATAGGTTCGTCGCAGGCAGGGGCCGGGGATCATGTGCTCGCTCGTGGTGAGCAAGCAGCCATGACCTTCTCATCGTCGACAGATGGCTCATCAAATTTCTGTTCCTTCTCCTCATGTAAGAAGGACTCGCAGGGCTGGCCCAGCCACCTCAAGAATATCCTGCGCGGGCTCCTGGCCAACCACTACTGGTGCCAATATCGCTGTTCGGCGAAGTGTGGAGATACTCGCCCTGATTTCCGCCTTCGTTGAGCTCAAGGCGCCTTGTTCCATCGTAGGTTGGACCGCCCTCGCTTACCGGACTAGCGACGCGATAAGATCTCGACGGTGGTCTCGAGAGCCTCGGCATTTGTATCGGCTTGCGAGGCGTGCCCAGGAGGCTTTTGCTCGAGGGCTATTCCCGACCCCTCCTCTTGGTTCCCTCGTAGGGCTCCTGACCCGCCCTCCTGCTACCTCCACAGGCTCAACGGGCCCCAGTACGGGCTGTTTCTGTGCCCTGGGTCTCACGTGTTCGCTGACTCTAGGCCTCCTAGATGGGGTCCGAGCAGATGGGGTCGGAGGATCGCGCCGCATCGCCAGTGCATCGCCGATGCGACTCGATGTGGAGCCCTAGCAAATCCGTGCTGGCGTCGCCGATGCACCACCGACGTCGCCGATGCATCGCCGATGCATCGGCGATGCGGTGCGAGTCTCCGACCCCATCTACTCGGACCCCATCTAGGAGGCCTCTACTGACGGGTCGGCCTTGGAGGGCGCGATCCCATCGTTGGGGGTGGCGGGATGGTCGGCGGTGGTGGTCGACGGGGACGGGAACGTGCTCAGTGTCCTCTGGGGGGTGGTGCCGCTAGACGAGGCTCCCCTCCAAGCGGCTAGAACGGTGGAGGAGGATGATGAGGAGGAGGAGGAGGAGAAGGAGGAGGAGGAGGAGTAGGAGGGGTCAGGTCGACAGGGGGGGGCAGGGTCGCCCGGGTGGGGGGGGGGGATGTCGGCGGGGGGCAGGTTGGGAAAGGGTCGGGCCAATGGGGGGTCAGGGGGGGATGGGGTGGGGGTCAGGCCAATGGATGGTGGTGCCGCTAGACGAGGCTCCCCTTCCAATTCACACGCCATGCTGAGGGGATGCACTTTGCGTATAAACAGTGCTGGCGCTGTGGCTTGTGCCTCTGACGTTCGAGCCGCGTCCTGGCCCCTCAACCCTCGGGCCCACTGGTGGGCCCAAGCCCACTGGCGTTGCTGTCAAGAAAGTGCCAGCGCACTGCAGCGCCGCCGACCTCGTGGATGCTCTGCTCACTCGG